GGGGGGGGGGGGGGGGGGGGGGGGGGGGGGGGGGGGCGTCGCGGGCCCAGCATCGGTTTGCCTCGTCACAGAATGTTCCGTCCGTGCGCGAAGCACAGAGCAACGTTTTCCTGCTTCAATCCACAAATGAATGCCGCCGCATCTTCCACCCACAACGTCAAATGCGCGTGCATGCCTTTGCGTGGACAACACAGGAAAAAGACCGAGTGCAAGACTATCTTCTGGAGGGCACGTGTCCCTACCGTCTACTGGTCCGTTGCGTGGCATTTGTTTGACCGCCCACCAAGTTAAATTTCTTGTTTTTTTTTCTTGGGAGTGCATTCTTCCCATTCATATTAATCGGGAGGTGCCATCCTTCGACAAGACAAGACAAGCGCTAGTAGTACGCAAGGATCATTTCAATCAGCCCCAACGGGAAAAGCGGGGCTTCGTGTGCCGCAGGGGCTCATGCACGACGTGTTGACAGCAGCCGATTGTGTCTCATGCCAAATCCATCCATGGTTGTTTACTCGCCGACAATAATCAACATTTTCCATTTTAGTAGCATACTTTGTAGCAACTTTTTTCCCGAGAGAATCTGTGAGGATCGACAACCAAATCTAGAGCAAGAGGACAATAAACACGAACAAAGTCAATCCCAACCTCCTCTTTGGGACTACAGCTGCAACTTCGCGCCATGTGTGAGCAGCCGCTCACGAAGAAAAACCAACGCTCAACAACGAAAGCGGGCGCATTCGTTCCGATGTCGTTCGCACCTTCGAATGGAACCACGGGTTTTCTCCCTGGGAACGGGACCACTTGTACCGGGGTCCTCAGCTTCCTATGGCCTGTGAGCAATGCCTCTGGCGATACGTTATCGTCCATCTCCATGGCAGTGGCAGCTCCCCGCCGTGCGCGCCGTGCGCTCGGTGTGTAGTCCCCAGCCCGAAGCGAAGATGCGCTCGACGCCGATGACACAACACACACCACCGAAAATCGTTTCTTACAATTGCGGTGCCCCCGAACGTGTCCCCTGTCCCCTTTACACCCCGTAGGCACACATTTCCGAAAGAGTTCCATGTACAGAACTTGATCTCCGATGAATTTTCGTAGATTGTGCGGTGGAATTGTGAATTGCCGTCCTCGCGAGCGCTGCCGCAAGGTACGAGTTCATAGTGCAGTGTGCAACGACGTCTCTCGTGTTCGATTCGGTTATAACTATGCGTACGGTCCAAGTTGCTGCGGCTTTCCTAGCGATCTACAGGGTTTCGGGCTTCGTCATTCCGGCATCACTTCAATCAAGACCCGCTGCTAGAATTCCAACATCATCGCAGCCTGCGACGCATGTTGAACATGTACGCAGGCAGCAACCGTTCGAGGCTCGCCACGCGCCAGTTTCGATGGCACCCCGGGGTGGCAGAGGAGAGGAGGAGGTGGACGATGCCGAGGAGAAGGGCGGAATAGAGCCTAAGTGAGTGGGGCGTTGGGGCTCCAAGTAGAGGACGGTCAGCTCTTTGGCAAACCAGATGTGTCGAGTAATGATGTACGGACTCGGTACCAGCTGCTGCGATGAACTCGGCCAGTGTCAGTGTGTCAGTATGCATCATGAGCATTCAGACAGCAGTATTGCCGAATTTCGGTGTTATTTCACTCCCATAATATCGACTTGAACGTGCCGGAGACGGATTTGCTACAAACAAGAGGCAGTTGCCCTGACGAGCGCGACGGATGCGCTGGTGTGACGACTCATGGTGCTGTCAAGAACTGCTGTATTCTAATTACACAAAAATCGAACTGAACGCGCGTAATGCGATCTTCCCCCAACCCTCGCTCCGTAGTTGATCCATGAGATCCATGGGGAAACCAAAAGGCAATCAATAGAAGTAGATTTCATATGGCTAGGATTCAGGTTCTTACGTTTCGTGAAAATCGACCCCTGAACCTCTTATTTGGCGCGCAATTGTGTGCATAACTCTTTTGTCAATCACGTTGCTCTCCGACCAGCAGAAATTTATCTCGAGCTCGGAGCGCTATATTTTCGGCTCTCTCGGCCTCTCACAGACCTCCATTTTCATTTCCGTATTTAATTTCCGTTCTCCGCGTCTTTTCACTCCTCTGCATATGTCTCGCCCACTCGCGGAAACGCGAGCCTGGCGGCTATCGCCGCCCCGCTCAGTAGATCGATTCCAAGACGCGGTAATAAGTGGTGGTAACAATTTAGTGAAGGGAAGTAAGAAACGGCTTGATGCAGAAAGAACGAGAGAGGTCGTACTCTGGCGGCTTTCGCCGCCACGCTCAGTAGATTGCTCCCAAGATACGCGAAAAGGTACGTAGCAATTCTAGTGCGGCCCGGACACGAAATACACATGTGAAAATAGCCCGAGCAAGCTGTGTGCTGCGGCTGAACCAAGATGCATGCACACATACAGTCGTGGGCCCGGTTAAGCGGTCCATAGTGTCGCGAAATTTTATAACCGCTATTCGGTGCATCGCCGCTAAACCACTTTAGCGGTCATTAACCGCTAAACCAGGAGGCTCAATAGCGGTCATGAACCGCTTAACCGGGAAAAAAACCCATTCATGCCCTAGAAGAGCAGTGTCGAGAGCTCATCTTGATAGGGTCATGTGTCTCATTGCAGCAGTCATACGAAGGTGCAGATGAATAAGTAACGAGCCAAACAAGGACAACGCCGCAAGCACATTCATTAAAAGTGCATTTATTTTGATTCGCCAAAGCACGACAATTATTCTCCCTTCTGGACTGTATGCCCCTCATCAAGGCTGGAAAATCGTTCGCGTCTCTAACGAAGTGAAGCTGATGAGACAAACTTGTGACAACGCAATGGCAATCAACCAAGTGCCTGAGCATGTCATTTCTGCCATGTGTCGCGTATCGATCATTCTTGATTCAATATAATATTTCTGGTATCTGCCTTGCGCGCTGGAGGAGCGGCGTGCGCTGCGAGGAACGCCATTTTTGCCTTGCGAAATAGTGTGCTGCTTCGCTTACGCCACACGCCTCCGCGCTCTCCACGCTGGCCAAAATCCGATGATAGCTCCGAGTATGGTGGCGGTGCCATCACCCCGCTGCCCTTCGCACCGTCAACTTGTGCCGTGGTATCTAGCCCTAGGTCGTCGTGTCGTCGTGTCGTCGTCGGAGGGGTTAGGCCCCCCTCCATGTACATACTGGGACAACTTTCAACAACCTCGTCATTCGCGTCTTATAATGCAAACCTTCGGCGATCTTCTGAGTGCGCTACCTTCTGGTCAAGAAGCTTAAAACCCTCTAGCTTCTAGCCAAAGTAGAGCCGCGTGTGGAGTTGTTGTTGTGTAGCTGCAGCGCGAGTTCTTTCTTTCCGCGCGCCTGGTGCGAGAAAGCCACCTTCCTCCTCTTGGCTCTTGGGCGGATTTGAGAAGTGAGGGGAACTCTGCGCCTTCTTGGTTGCACGCCGGTTGCATCTCGTTGTCATCCGAATCCTCCACCTCCCCACGCATGCCGTGTATGCGGCCGCCACAGCAACCTTTACTATCGTGCGCGCCGTTTGGACTCAGTGCCGCATCTAGAAGCTTGCACAGTTCTCCATCCATGCGCCGCATGGTGTGTCTTTATTATTAGCATCGACCGCGCTAACCGGTTGACCAATAACAAGACGTCGTCGTCAGTCTCAGCGCGGTTGCAAACACAAAACACTTCTATATGTCATTAACTGGGACCCCGTGAGGGGGCGGCATGGGGCAGGCAAAAGCTATTCCCCGGATTGAGGGCAGAAACGGTAGCAACAGAGGAAAACTGCTACCTTGCACTCGGGTTCGTTTTGGAGTGTTTTCACCATCATCCTCCTTGCTTTCACCACCATCACTCTGATCGTCGTTTTTTCAGCTATTTTCGGCAATTCTTCTCTAGCCCTGCGTCGTTTGGTGTGTGTGTGTCTCGCTGTGTCCTTTTTATTATGAGCACCGACCAGCTACCAGACTGACCAATGTCGCTGTGCTGTGAGTATGTGCAAGCGAAGTGCGCACTAGTTCCCCGCAAGAATTGAACCGATAACCGCTATTGGTGGCTGAAAACATGTACAATAACCGCTATTGAGGACACGACCGGTTTAGCGGTTGTACAACCGCTACAACCTCTATACCGGGGTGCAGCCGTGTCACGAGATGTTATAGCTCCTATTCAGGGCATCCCGCTAAACAGGGAACCGCTAAACCGGGCCCACGACTGTACCCGAAAACAGGATCGTAGAGGGGTGGAAGAAATGGTATTATAGATAGAGCAGCGGACCATTGGACGTGTTTTGTGTGAGAGGAATGCGCGGGTCTCACCGCCAGAAGTGTGTCCGCCCTCTACCCGTCGTTCATCGTTTAACCCCCTTACCACGCACAATAAATTCGGCGTTCTTACGAAATTTCTGAAATGTAAGAAAGAGAGCGCACGACGCCTGCGGATTGGATGGTGCAGACGGTTCCATCCCTGGGTGCGAATGCAAAGCTGCCTTCCCGCTTGAGCCGTCTCTTGTCTATAATCCCTATCAATTGTCCCCTCGATTATCGAGGGGACAATTGATAGGGATTATAGACAGCAACTCGCGGGAGCGTGGTAAGCCGGGCACGAAAAGGAGGTTTTCAACATTTTTCCCTAAGCCCTAGGTTGCCCGGTGCCTCCTATCAACGGTGGGCTAGGTACTGCTTCCGCGCTCGCCCCCAGTAGCGCTTTCCACCCCAGGGTAGACGGACGCGGCGCAACTTCGCTGTTGAACCCGCGGCGTAATCGCCCCGCGATTCGACCTGTTGATTACCCTCGTACTCCCCCACTCTACAAAGCATCCGTACTAGGCTAGAGGCGTCCTCGTGTACCCTGGCACCCCCCCTGGTCGAGTAGTTCAAAGTAGGAGACAATCGTGCCATTCTTCGCGAGGTAAAGCAGGTGAAGAAGATGGGGACAAAAAGTGTCCCCAAAAGGCGATCTAGCCTAAAAGGGGTTAACAGCTGTGAGTAGGTCCGTACGGCGGACGGTGCGGATGGCGGCGTTCAAGTACGGAGTTGACAAGCGTGCCCGGCCACAACTTACACATCCATGGACGTATGGACTCGTGTGTCTACGTACTTACGCACCACATCCGAGATGAGCGCCCCCGGCGAGAGAAACGGGGGCTGAGCAATAAACCGGCTAGATCGTTTGAGCTACTGACGTGTGTGCTGCTGGCGTCTGCTGGTCGTTTGGTCCGGTTTCGCCAAGCGGGACGGCGAGGGGTGCGGAGAGTCAGAAAAGAAGTGCCACTTCAAGCGTTTTACAAACGTGTTGTAGTAAGAGAGAGGCAGAGAGAGCCTGGGGTGGACTGTGAGAGCCTAGAAGAGAGACGTGGGTAAAATATGAAAGGATGGGCAGGAGAGAGAGCAGGGAAGAGCGGCGGCGATAGCCGCCAGGTCCTTCGTAGATTGTATGCATGTACCGGTCAAGCACCAATTTCATGAAGTTGACTGTTCGTCTCGTACTACTGCCGTTTGTGCTCGGCCGAGCCAGTCAATCTGTAAACAATAGGATATGTAGGACGCGTTGACTATTATTGTCCTGCAAAAAAAAATCCCTGACGCACCGCCTGTACCTAAGGCGCTACGGCAGTACGATTGGACATCGAGAATCAGGCTATGCACGGCGCTGCTTGGTGGCTGCGGTGCTGCTGCAGTACGCCCTCTCCAAGTTCCTGCATGTTTGCGAATTGCGCTCCCTTGCATGATAGAGTCGGCTGTTCAACAAATCGCGCTCTCTCGTCACTTTCGTGTCCAGGTACCTCGCTGCGATCGGAGTGGTCTTGTTCGCGGCGCTGTACGACTTGTTCGTCACCCACGAGGGTAGGCTGTGGGAGCTCTAGAACATCCACTTGCTTCAGCTTATTACTGGGCGAACCCATAATAGCGGGCAGTAGACGGACACTGATCACTCACTACAAATGTGCACTTGACGGGCACGGCGGCCTGGTGCTTGGGGTATGCTTTTGTGAAGCTGACGGAAAAAAAAGCCGTTTGTGTAGCCAAAGCACGAGGGTGCTCTCCCCTAGCTTGTTGGAGCATTGTCTAGGCCAACGAGCGGCAGAAAGCGTTTAGTGCGCACCAAATGTGCAAAGCGGGAAGTTGATCGACGTGTGTTGCCTGTGTGATGGTGACCGAGCGAGATTTGCAACTGATGGTGTCGAGGGTTTACTAGGGCATTGGGTGCTTGAGGCTGCAGCTGTGGGGTATGGACCAATAGCAGTTTATGTCAACGTAAGTTTTTGGCGAGCACCGATGTTCTTGATACTAATTGTTGCGCACGGAAGTACTCGTTTTCAGGTTCGGTAGCATGATTCCGTGCACGATCGATTGCGGTCTTCCTAGTTCTTGTTCGTACTGAGAGTGGTTGTACAACCGTCAATGTAGCAAGACCAGGATTGGAGCACCCTCTTCTGGCCCGCTGAAAATCGTTGCTTGCGCCAGCAGTTCTTGACTTATCAGGCGTCCGGTGCCGTCGCTCTCGGAGTGTCACTCGACAAAGCGGTTTCGCATCGCACATTACACCGTACTGCTGTACCGATGATGTCCCTGACTAATGACCTCTCGCGCGTGGCGCGAGATCGCAAGGTTACTTCGCGTAGATGCGCACCTGAAGAACGCAACACACTTTCGACACACTGACGAGGCTTCTGAAAGGGGGGAAACTTTTGCCTTTTATAGGTGCCGCTGAGTTCCGGTTGGCCGAAATTGCTTGGACGGTGAGCGTCGCCAGCCATGGTCAAAATATCGAAATGTCTCACTTTGTTCCAAAACAACGTATTACCTTTTATCCGTCCAGGATTTCAAAATCCCCCCGACGGAGGCATCAAGCACCTGGTGCATCATCACATCATCATCAAAGCGACCCGCGAGAGTCTGGAAATGGGCAAAAACCCCGCGTCTCGACACTTGACCACTAATAGATGATTGCTGACAACCTCACCAACACAGTTGGAAGGCCTCAGGGGTCCATTTTCGTACACTCCGGAGCGCTGCAACATGATTTACGCCGGTCCAATCTTCGCAAAGGGAAGATAAGAGACGCCTACCGCTGTCGTAGTACCCTCGCAGCATTTTCGGAGATTCAAAATTGTCGGAAATTCATCACACCCTCGTGACATTTGTACACACAGCGTAAAAGAAACGCGCACCGTTCCTTGTCAGCGACGAAAATCTCAGAGATCCGCGCACCTCCACCACGCCACCTCAACACGACGAAAACGAAACCTAGAAACTCTGACGGTGCGCCGACGCAAGCGTCCGGTGGCACCGGGGGGCGGGGAAGAGCGCCTCCGCCTACGTGGGAATCTCAAACAAGTCAACGCGATTCTTGTTAGGGTATGTGCCCACGCCCACCCCAATGTCGGTTGTCACCGCCATTCGAAGACACGTCGTAGACACCTCCCGGTCCCACCTCGACAACGCCTCCAACCTCGTCCACGGCGCAACGGTCCTCCGCCCCAGCCCGTCCCCACGCACCCATACACACCGCGTTCCACATCGTCACAGTCGGTGTTCTTGGTCCTCCGTGCACCGAGTCGGTGTCCGTCTTGCTCCCCACAAGCGAATCGATACGGGGGGCGCCATCGCTACCCCTGTATGCGGGGGTGCCCTGAGGTCCGTTCGCGAACCCTCTTCCAGCGGGGTGCAGAGGAGTGCCCGCCCCGGCAGCAGCAGCAGCAGCAGCCGATGATTGATCGCCGCCACCTCTGGTGACCCCGCTTTCTCGGTAAGCGGCGGCCGCCGCTCCCGTAGCAGCCGCCTCGGCCGCGAACGGCGAAATCATTCGGCGGCTCTCTTCGCCTTGCTCCATGTCTTCCGGCCCTCGCTCCTGTTGCTCCTGCTCCAGGTCGGACGTGCCGCCAGCGGCCGCCACCGCCGCAGCGAGCTTTCCCTCTTCCGGCACCTGGCCAAGGGTCCTCCGAAAGAAGGAGATGATGGAGAGAAGCCGCCTGCCCTTTTTCCCACACGCGGGTGTGGTGAAAACGGTGCGAGCGCGCGGGGGGTGTTGGGTAAGGGCTGTCAAGCGTTGCACGAAGGACCACACTTGCAAAATACTCGTTAATTTTGATGCATGACAGTCCAAATGGGGGGAGGGGGTTCGGCATCACGACACACTTTCAAGCGCTCGGTGTAGGGGCGCAGGTGGCGCTCACGGCAACATCCCTCAGACCCTCGCGAACGCTGACAACGAGAACCTACAGCTGTGTTGATGCACCACGCTTGCACCCAAAGCAACCATGGGGTACCGAGTGCAGTGCCCAATTTTCGGTTGCCCTATTCCCCCCCCGCCTCAGATACAGCAAGCCCGCCGATCGATGAGACAACCACATGCACTTCCGGAACCGCAGACACACACTACACTCAGACGGAACCATAGCCTGCATTTTCTAACGATTGACCAAGAAGCACCTTCATCCAGAAGGTAGCATATATCTATGGACGTAAGATGAGGAGAGATGGCACACCCCCCAGAAAGATATTAAAGCTCGAATGCTCCACGACCAAATTTGTCTGTACTGCACCGTATACCGTACCGTGGTTCCTATTCCGAAAGAGGCGGAGAGATGGCACTCCTCCTAGACGGATATTTAAGGCTCGAATGCTCCACCAACCAAGCTCGTGCCAACGCCAAAGATGGTGGTTGGGGAAATATGTCGTCGAGGGCTTTCCGTAGAACTCCCGGGCTCTTTCCAACCCCATTTGGTTGTGGAGCAATCGAGCATTGAAAGTCGGTCCAGGGGGGGTGCCATCTACTCGCCTCTTTCGGAACCACGGTACGGTATACGGTACGGTACAATCTTGGTTGTGGAGCAACAGAGCTTTGAAAGTAGGTCCAGGGGTCGTGCAATCTCTCCGCTTCTTCACCGCAGATCAAGAGGGAAAACACTCACCTAGAAAGGCTCTGGATGCCCCAGCCCCACTCTCTCGGAGGTTGGGCGCCGTTAACGAACAGCGCGTACAGGTAGCAGTCGTACAGCTCTCCGTTTATTCGATAGTAGTCTGGAAAACATCAAACGGGGACGGAGGTGCTACGTAAGCATCCCTTGTTGATGTTGGGAGAGGAGTAGGATCCGTGGGAAAAAAGCGAGCG